TAGTAATCCAAATGTCTTATGAAATAAATAAATAAATATAGATAGATAGATATAAGCAACCATAGATGCTTGCGATAACTTTGGAAATAACTATTTTATTTACCTTTTTGGTATTAATAAAACAGTGCTCACTATGGTATTACAAAGCTATAAAGTATATATTAATAAATATACATATCACCTAACGTCAATCGACTTATGGTAATATGTATATATATTATTATATATACGGAGAAAGGGCAAGCGAACAACAGGCAGAGAAAAATATGTGTATAGATGAAGACGCAATATGTATATTTGTGTATATGGGTTACCATAAATATGTATATTTGTGTATATGGGTTACCATAAATATGTATAGTTGTGTATATGGGTTACCATAAATATGTATAGTTGTGTATATGGGTTACCATAAATATGTATAGTTGTGTATATGGGTTACCATAAATATGTATAGTTGTGTATATGGGTTACCATAAATATGTATAGTTGTGTATATGGGTTACCATAAATATGTATAGTTGTGTATATGGGTTACCATAAATATGCCTTTGGCTGGCTGTAATTAGACTTGCCAAAACAAGGTGTTACTTTAATGATCTCCACAATAGCGTGACGACATTTTACTATCGACGTCATTATGTAATAGGGATACAAAGAAATGATTAAAAAAAAGAAATTTCTTTCTCATCTGAGCACAAATGTCATTTAAATTGGACAGTCCACTGGTTAGTTGACAAAATTTGACAGTTAAATAGATCTGCGCTAATGAGTCAGCGTCGTACGGGGAAAATGGTTAAAAAAAATCGAGACGTGCGCTGGTTAGAAAACAAATTTCAAAATGGATAAGAAAATTTTAGAAGGGATAAGAAAATTGAGACGTTCCCTGATTCGAAAACAAATTTTACAAACGTAACAAATATGTTTCTTTACTGTTCTATAAATTTCGACTCACAATTCAGTTATTTTCTTCTCAGTTAGGTGAACGAAATTTTATTAAGTTTACTTTCCAGCGATTGCAGCCTATTGGTTAATTTTTCAATCTCTCTGGCCATGCATTATTCTACTTCTAAAATATATCGAAAAGTCACTTCATATTTCCCTACATTAATTTTCAAATGAATTTTTTCATATTTTTCCTACATTAATTTTCAGATGATATTTTATTCTTAAGTTAATAACTGAATAAGCTTGGGGCAAGTTCCACAACTATAAAATACCCAGGAAATTGAATTACTTGGTCACATCGATGTAATGGTTAGCAAGCTTGTCTCACTAGATCAATTACAACAGAATCGTGACGTCAAATCGCACATAGTGCTCCTTACTGTTGGCCTTGTGCCACATTTAAGATTCCTTTTGTAAATCACTATATACCTAAGGCTTTCCGACGTGACGTAATCGTTAGCAAGCTTGTCTCACTAGATCAATTACAACAGAATCGTGACTTCCAATCTCACCTGGTGCTCTATACTGTTGGCCTTGTGCCACATTGGGCACTTCAACGTGATGCTTGTCTCACAAGATCAAATAAGACTGACTAGTGAGTTCATCTCTCACTGGTTGCTCTATACTTTCAACCTTGTGCCATATCTAAGCTTCGCTTAAATATCCCTATATACATTGGGCACTTCGACGTGATATAATGATTAGCAAGCTTTTCTCACTAGCTCACTTACATCAGACTTTCTTTCTATGACGTAGGCGATCATGGCTCTCCCCGTCCATCGATCCCTTGCAGCTGTCAACAAGATCCTTTCCTTTGCCACCTCCCCCAGACCACGTTCTCCCATCCACTTGCTTAAGGCCTCTTGATATGTCATGCGTTACTTTCCCTTATCTCTCTTTCCCTCTATTCGACCTGTGAGTATCAGATTCTCCAGGCCTTCTTTCCTCATTATGTGTCTCAGGTAACTTAGCTGCTTCATCCTGATGTTAAGTGACTAGTGAGTTTGATACTGTCTGCTCCATAACTTCAACCTTGTGCTACATCTAAGTTTCACTTAGGAAACTCCTGTTGCATCGTTAAATATGTTTGTACTTAAGAAATTAACAATCACAAGTATCAATATTTTTTTTTAAGCATTACGCCCCAAGCAAGGCGTGAAGCCACTAGGATGCAGGAGGTTGCGGTAGATTTGGAGCGAGAGGAGAAGGATAGTGGGTAGATCAAGGTAACTGGAGATGTCGATTGACATTACATTTGAATAGTTGATTATAACCTTCAGGGAAGCAGTAACTGGGGAGGGTGTTCCACTGGCGAGAGGTGCGAAGTATGAAGCCATTGGAGTAGAAGAGACGGCTACATTTGAAAGTTTCTACGGTGTAAGTGTGGGAGCGGGATGCCAGCCTCGTAGGGCGCTTGAATTCATGGAGTCTGGGAACCAGTGAAAGCAGCTCGTCAGAGCAGTTACCATGGAAGTATTTGTAGAAAAGACAGAGAGAGGCGACGGCGCGTCTGTGAGAGAGTGACTGCAGACGTGACGCCAGACGAGGGCCAACTAGATTACATATCCGTCTCTGGATCCTGTCAAGAACTCCGAGGTAAGCAGGAATATAGGTCATTTTGTAATGAAGTAAGAGGGTACAAAGGTAAAGATTCAACGTTAACAAGATTTTTTTTTTATTTGACGGAAGCAGATGTTAAACACACTCGAACATTATCGCCTCCTTTGTTTTCATTCTTATTATCATGTAGGCTATAATCTTCAAACAGAAACAAAGAAACATCTCCGATATATCTTTTCTATTCCACCTTTTCTCTCATTCAAATTATTTAGTACGGTAATGGCAGGGCGTAATGAACGTGCTAAACAAATAAACTAACCGACGTCAGAACAAGTAGAATTCTAGTATGAAGAACGATTCAATTAAAAACTGTGCTAATATCTTGCGTTTTCAGTTGTTTATGATGTACGCCAGAAATTTAACCTCGAAATCATCGGATATCAGTTTTCTCAGTTTAGTAGTCTATGAGTATGGAATACTAAGTGAGGATCGAATTCCTTACGTAGTCGTTAGCTGTTAACCAGATAAGATTGGTAACCATTACTCAACTCCGAGGCGCCTGTTTTGTTTCTAGCGTGATTTGGACCTAGTAGCTTTATTAAAAATTAAATTTAAAAAAAAAAGAAGAAATGTTTTTTTTACTTCCTGGCACAGTCGATGAATTTCTCAGCAGATGAAATTTGAGACCTTCTTCTACTGCCAGAATGGAATAGCCGTAGTCGATTCCGTCCCAGAGACTGGGGGTGATCAGCAGTAAATAATATGATACAGGGACGAAGTAAACATGAATGCGAGCACTGGGACCCAACATCCTCGGTGGGGGTCAGATCTTCCCGATTCCGCCCCAACATCCCCATCAGATAGAAAAATCTATTCAACGCGGTCTGTTCTGCTATCTACCTATAACTGGTGGGGGGGGTGAAAGAAAAGGATTCATACCTTTCCCAATGGTATTAGCACTTAAGTGAATGTAACGGATTCGACTGGAGTTCGAACCCGGCTCTCCGATTCCTCAATTCGAGCCGCTATCCATTAGGAAGAATCGTTAAATGGTTATCAGCTGCATTGTAATTATTTGGAATTTTGCTACTTCAATGATTGTGATGCCAATTGTACACGATGTGATTTTTTTTTTTTTTTTAGTTGTAAAATGATGTATGGTGAACGTGACGTAATGCGTTCTCTGAAACGTTAATAGACACGACGGGGATTAGAACTTTCAATTTCCGTCCATGCACCCCGGTTTCGAATCTAGGTTGATGTTATCGGCTATGGACAGACGATGGCAACTTTTGGCACGTTTGGGTAGAACCTGAAACCATACGAGTTGACTCAGTCTCTGTGAGGGAAGTTGATGGGGCTGTTCGTTGATAGTTGCGCTAGTAGGAAATTACATATCATCCGGAACAGGGGGGTATGAACGTACAGGCCTTGTTCCAATTGATGATCACGCAATATCTCCCAGAAACTTTAACTAAAAGCAGCTCTACATAATAGCAAAATAAGTATTACAGATTCTAGATAAAATACAAATTAGAATCTGCAATGTTATTAGGCCTTAGCTGGCATCTCAACTTCACTCACTTTTCCACCGCCCTAACCTAGCTTCACTGTGTCTTTTCTGTAAATATTTTCATCGTAATTGCTCTGATGAGCTTTCATCAATGATATCTAGAATTTAAGCGAAGTACTAGATTAGCAACTCATGATTTTACAATTGAAATGACTATGTGTAACCGTAAGTTCTATGCTAACTGTTTCTTCTCGAGCAATTCACGCTTCTGGAACTTTCTTCTGGCTTCTTGCTTTCCAGTCAAGTTTGATCTTCATAAATTTAAATGCAATGCCAATCGTTATCTTGTTTTTTTTTTAAAATTCCTGTTTTTTTAAATTATTTTTCTCTCTCCTTAATAATATTTTTTTCATATTCTCTCACACCCAGTCAACTCTTGCGTCTTAGTGGCTCTGTCGCCTTGCTTGAGGTGAAATGATAAAAAAATTACACATGTAGTTTGAACAAACTTAGTTAAAAATCATCGTGCCCTTATTAAAGAAAACTGTTGATCATGCCAAGGTGTGCGTTCTCTTCCAGAGATTTTCTCCACATAGCATGCAGTGTGTTCAGTGCGTGTTGAATAAACACAGATGTGCCTGAACAGGTGCCTGTACTAGGGATTAGTTAGCTACCTTGGCAAACAGTCATACTTTTAAGCGAGGCTTTAATACACATAAGTTGTTTTCAACCAAAGTCTCACTTTTTTTTTACCTATATTTCAATGCACGTATGTCAATATGGCTAATGCAAAGGCATATATTAACTGAGGTAGCAATCTTGATGCATAAAATTGACGTGATAATGAAAATCCAAAAAAGTTTATTTTTTTTAGAAATAAAATAAAATATGGGTTTTATGGAGCTCATAATTAACTCTAAACAGGAAAAGAATTGTATATATCTAAGTTTGGTAAAAGGTTATAAGAATGGTGCATCCAATGAGCATCCAGCTTAATTGGACACTAGCTTTCAAATTACGACTCTTCATTGAGACGTTGACGTTTATTATAAATATACCCCATATTTTCTCACTTTTCTTTCTCTTTTCTTTGTCTTTTTTCACTTCTTGTTTCTTTTCTTTCTTTCCCTTTTCTTTTTCTTTCGTTTCATTTTTTTTATTGATTTTTGTTTATTTTCCTTAATTCTTTCTCTTTTTTAAAAACATGATCATTTTTATACTTTATCTTTTTTTCTAACTTTAAGATAAAGTTTATTTATTTTCTCACATTTATTTATTTCATTCTTCATGTTTTCATTTGATTTCATATATTTCTTTAACTTCTTCATTTTCTTTTAATGTGTTCAATATGTTTACTTTCTTTTTTCTGTCAAGCTAATTTTCTTTCTCACCATATTTCCTTCTTTTTTTTCATTATACATTTATTTTTTTTTGTTATTATCTTTTCAAAAATGTATTCACATTTTTTACTTCCTTTCTTTTCTCGTCTCTTTCCCTAAAATTCTTTCGAAGTTTCCTTCTTTCTTCAGTTATTCATTTTACATAAACATTTTTCTTTCATTTTTTTTCATTTTTATTTCTCTAAGTTTCAGTCGAATCTACATTAAATTTCTCTTTCTTTCTTTCTTTCTTTCTTTCTTTCTTTTGATGTCTTTTATTTGAAATTTTTCCTTTCTTACTTTAGTTTCAGTCGAATATTTCATTTCTTCCTTTTTTCCTTAATTTTCAACCGAATTTTCTTTCTTTCTTTCTTTCTTTCTTTCTTTCTTTCTTTCTTTCTTTCTTCGATGTCTTAATTGAAACTTCTTCCAATCTTGCTTTAATTTTCAATCGAATTTTCTTTCTTTTTTCTTTAACTTTCAGTCGAATATTTTCTTTCTTTCTTTCCTTAACTTGCAATCGAATTTTTTTTCTTTTCTTTTCTTTTCTTTCTTTCTTTCTTTCTTCGTTAGATCACCCTAGCTTTTAGAGAGATTTACCCCAGTCGTGAAGTGCAAACCGTTCATCTGGTGCTTGCCCAGTCGTTGACACGTGCTCAATTGTATATTAATCAGTTATAGTCGGTTCACTATGAACCAAGGGCATACGAGGAAAAAAAAATACTCGTCAGCCCAACTGAACAGGACTCAAGTCGAGGGTCACGAACAGGGCGTAGGACCAAGAAGAAAGTAGAGGAAAGGAAGTGTGGACGGTCAAATTGGGGAGAGAAGCGACGTAAAATAAAGATTCTCAACGTTAAAAAGAATAAAAAGAAAAAGAAAAAAAAAACCCTGAAAAGCAGCCGAACGAACAATACTGTGTTTTGCACCCTTAGAAGATGGCGTAGTTAAATAATAGGAAAATAGATGCGACAGAGAAACCGGGGAAATGAGGACCTTTTTTATGATTACTTATATATATATATATACAGAAATTTAATGTTCTTTTAATTCTGGGGAATACTAGGGAGTTAGAAACAAAAGAAAAGTTAAAAAAAAAGGTCAGAAAGAAAACGAATGGGGAAGAATGAATCATTAGATGAGAAGATCGAGGAAAAAAAAAACGATAAATGAAAAAAGAAGAAAGAAAGAAGAAAGGAAAAAAAGAAAGAAAGAAGGAATGTCAAAAATAAAAAAAAAGCCAAAGAAAAGCAAAGGAATTTTTCAAATGGACAATGAAATAATAGAAAGTAAAGAAAAGCCAAAAAAAAAATAAATAAAAAATAAACTTGGAAATCAGCCAATTTACGAGCTTCATTATACGTAAAGTCACAAATATTAAGATGCAATAATCGCACTAATATAAGGATTAAATAATTTTTCTTTCCAAAATTAGATGTGTTAGTTGTGTAAGTCAAACCTGATAGAATAAGAAATGAACTAATAGATGTCCCTTGCAAGTTATGAGAGTTGATTGATAAATACGGTTCTTAATCCCTAAAAAAAAAAATCAAGTTGCGGACCCGATAAAATAATGAGATTGGTATCAATAAATTTATTTCTTTTCACTAATTATGGGGTTTGATTGATAGTATCTCAATCTTCTGAAACAAGTTTTAGACCAGGTAGATTAATAGAATTGTTATTAAAACGAAGTAAATTTAATTTCTTTCAAAATGTCGAGGGTTGATTGATAAGGTTTCCAATCCTATAAAACAAGTTTTAGACCAGATAAATTAAGAGAATTGGTATTAGAAAGAAGTACATTTCTCTTCAAAAAATTATGAGGTTTCATTCTTAAGGTAACCAATCCTATAAAACAACTTCACTTTAAAATAATTAGGGTTGATTACTCTTCAATATTATGAGGTTTCATTCTTAAGGTATCCACTCCTATAAAACAAGTTCTCTTTAAAAATTATTCGGGTTGATTACTCTTCAATATTATGAGGGTTCATTCTTAAGGTACCCACTCCTATAAAACAAGTTCTCTTTAAAATTATTAGGGTTGATTATTCTTCAATATTATGAGAGTTCATTCTTAAGGTATCTCGCTCCTTCTTTTTTTTATTTTCGTATGCTCTTGTGTCTTAGTGGCTTTACTGCCTTACATGGGGTGATATAATAAATAAAAAAATGAAGAAGTTATTCTGATGCTGTTACGAACAAATTTTCCGCTACATTATTCCTTACTTGTTACGCCATATTTACTAAAAGGAACGCTGTAAAAAGCGATATTGTGAAAGTAATGCAGATTTTTAGATTAACCTTATGTTGATGATAAGAATTCATATCGGACAACCTTCTAATCCGAATAATTCCAAAGCCTACCTCATCAAATAGCTTGTTATTTTGTCAAGGACGAATATGTATCACAACAGAAAATTTGACTTTCTTCTCCGCTGTCACACAAATAGTTAGAGACACAAAAGCAGTCATACGCAAAATTACCCCCATTTACCCAGTCGGCGGAACATAGAATGCGCCGACGGCGTCCCCTGCAGAGTGGGTAAGACCTCACCCGTCATAAGAGCCACTTTCCGGGTAAATACTTTCATATTCGGCCAGTGTCTACTTTTTTGACTCTTGTGTAAATAGCACTTATGTCGACATTTTTCAATCTATTATAACGAGGAATTAGGTTTACCCTTTTGACCTGAATGTACACTGGACATATCTCTACCTTTTGACCCGAGTCAAAATCGAACCTATGCTTGCCTTTCTGACTCTATTGCAAACTATAACTATATCTACACTTTATAAGTTAAAACTTAATAGTTATAGTTAATAGTATAGTCATTTCCGTTAGTAACCATGCGAAACACATGAACTAGATGGAGATGAACTGAGTAACCTCAAAGGAGGCTACCCTCTCAGGTTTATAATATTGAAATGCCAATTTTGGGATTGGGTGGTGGCTCTCGATGCCATGATGACGGGTACATTAACTGCTTTATCTACGGATGATTCAATCAAGGTTATAGATGCACACATCTCCTGTGATTGTGACTGTCTCATTACCTAGTCTAACGCTCCTGCAAGTACCAGATTCCACCCTTGTTTTTTTAAACAGGGGGACATATTTGTCCCTCGTTTCCTGTTTAGGATTAGATTTCTAACGCCGCCGCCTAAAATTCTGAACTTATATTTACTATGAATTTGCTTTTGCTTTTCTCAATAGGAGTAGATCGATTCGCTTATCGTCCACTTCTCCCCGGTCTTTTGTACAAGAATGGAGGTTTTTCCCCCTTGTTTACTGTTTAGTATTGGGTTCCTTTTCTTCCAAAGTCGACTGACCCTAGAGTAAACTGTACTTATGTCTAACTTTTTGATTCGGTTTAAACCGGACCAATGTCTGTCAATCTATTAATTCATTCAGACTTTTGCCCTCGGGAATATCGATTTGACCTAAAATGATCCAACAAGTGTCGACATGTCGTTAAATTAACTAACTAAAAATAACCTAACTAACCTCCACATATATACAGCTTTTTTGCCACGGGGGATATAATCTGAAGACATTAGTGATCTTAACCAATTCTGGCGCGCTTTACTATTCGATGGGCAAACTAGAATCCCACTGCACTGGTCGTTGGCCCAAAAGGTGCCTCTCCTGAAGTAATGGCTAAAAAGCTGGCTTTGTAAACGCTAGTAAGTAGGATATATTTCTGCTTTTATTAGATATCACATCACGTAAAAGATGAAATTAAGCTTAGAAAATATCTAGGAAAAGATATCGTGCGAAAAAAACTTGAGATTCTCTTTTAAGGCAGCGGTTTCTAACCATATTGCGCGATACGGGACGGGTGTCAAATAAAACAATTTCTCATGGACTACAGAGGCTGTCGGTTTCGGTAACGCGCATTACAAGACTGCGATACTCAATAAAAGGTAAAAAAAAAATGTTTTTATTCTTTCAGTGCGGCCCGGTACCAAATGGTCTACAGCCCGGTACCAAATGGTCCAAGGCCCAGTACTAAATAGTTCAAGACCCGGTACCAAATGGTCTACAGCCCGGTACCAAATGGTCCAAGGCCCAGTACTAAATAGTTCAAGACCCGGTACCAAATGGTCCAAGGCCCACTACCAAATGTTTGAAGGCGCAGTACCAAATGATTCATGACCCAGTACCAAAGGGTTCGTTTCCCGGTACCAAATGGTCCTAGGCCCAGTAGGAAATGGTTCAAGGCCCAGTACCAAATGGTCCAAGGCCCACTACATAATTGTTTGAAGACGCAGTGCCAAATGATTCATGACCCAATATCAAAGGGTTCGTTTCCCGGTATCAAATGATCCTAGACCCAGTAGGAAATAGTTCAAGACCCAGTGCCAAATAGTCCAAGGCCCACTACCAAATGTTTGACGGCGCAGTACCAAATGATTCATGACCCAGTATCAAAGGGTTCGTTTCCCGTTACCAAATGGTCCTAGGCACAGTAAGAAATGGATCAAGGACCAGTACCAAATGATTGATGGCCTGGTACCAAATGGTCCACGGCCCAGTAAAAAATAGTCCGTGCCCCGGCACAAAATGTACTGGTACTGGTCCGCGGCCTGGTGTTTTAAGGGACAACCTTAAGAGTGGCAGTTAAAAAATAGTGATGGTAAACGGTGCTGAAAGTGACATCGGCAGGCCGAGTCCCCATTCTAGCCTTGCCAGCTACGTTCACTTTCGCACCGACTCTATTACAAATGCCTGATGTCATCACTTCTCCTTCCTAGTTATGGATTAAATAGTAATGTTGACAGTGGACAATCATGGCTCCCCCTACACTTCCTTATCCCTAATAAGGCCCTAATAAGTGTTTGTTTTTTAGCGCATTCGTAACTCTTCCGCAGTTCTGCCATACACTCACACAAACTGATCAGATATGTGGCCTCTCGTTTACCACTGTTCATTATGCCTTCATATCTATCTATCTATCTATCTATCTATCTATCTATGTTCATATCTATCTATCTATATATATATTTTTGTTCACATCTATCTATCTATCTATCTATCTATCTATCTATCTCTAATCATATCTATCTATCTATCTCTTTTCATATCTATCTATCTAGCTAGCTAGCTAGCTATCTATGTTCGTATCTATCTATCTATATATATATTTCTGTTCATATCTATCTATCTATCTATCTATCTATCTATCTATCTATTTATCTCTGTTCGTATCTATCTATCTATCTATCTATCTATCTATCTATCTATCTATCTCTGTTCGTATCTATCTATATATATATATTTTTGTTCACACCCATCTATCTATCTATCTATCTATCTATCTATCTATCTATCTTCATATCTATCTATCTCTTTTCATATCTATCTATCTATCTATATTCATATCTATCTATCTCTTTTCATATCTATCTATCTATCTATCTATCTATCTATCTATCTATCTATCTATCTATGTTCGTATCTATCTATATATATATTTCTGTTCACATCTATCTATCTATCTAGCTAGCTAGCTAGCTCTGTTCATATCTATCTATCTATCTATCTATCTATCTATCTCTGTTCATATCTATCTATCTATCTATCTATCTATCTATCTATCTATCTATCTATGTTCACATCTATCTATCTATCTATCTATCTATCTATCTATCTATCTATCTATCTATGTTCACATCTATCTATCTTTTGATATTTAACTATCTATATTTCCATCTAGTTCACATTCCATTGTTAGAAAAGCCTGATTTCATCTTTTCTTTTTCACAGCTATGAAGTTAATAGCAGGTTAGACATGATTCTCTAGCCATAGATGGCAGCCAGTTTAAAAGAAAAACAATTCTGAATTCCAAACTGCGGAAAAGCACTGCAACACTTTTCCACTATCTTTGGCAAGAAATGATGGAACTTCAGAGATAACTCTTCTTCTCCCATGTACCATGACCATGGCACTCTACAACATTTTTTGTTTTCTTAAGATTTATTCGTTGTTTGCACACACTATCCAGAGTAGCTCCAGCATCCTTCTCTAGAGCCATATTTCTGTTACATTCAGTCATCTTTTATAATTCGTGTCCCTTCAGAACGTAGACGATTATGGCCCTCCACATCTTTCTGTCCTCTTAATAAGCTTTGTCTTTTCGTTCTTTCTCCCAAACCCTCTTCAGTCATCCATTTGCTGAAGCCCATCAAGTATGTTACGCGCTGTTTTCATCTTTCTCTCTTTCCCTTTATCTGTCTTGTGAGTATCAGATTTTCTAAGGCCTCCTTCCTCTTCCTGATGTTAAGTATAAGTTTCCTCTTTGGTCCAATTTGTTCTAAAATCTCGTCATTGCTCGCATGTTCGGCCCATGTTATCCTAACCATCCTTCTGTAAAATCATATTTCAGTTGCTTCTTGACTCTACCTCATCTTTGTCGGAGATTCTCCAGCATTCGCTGCCATACAGGAGGTCAGATATCACGTAACAGTTTAGTACTCTTTTATTTGATTTTAACGAATTTTTCCTGTCTCTTAATACTTTGCTTAGCTTTTGAAATACATCTTTCTCCATTCCAAACGTCAGTGTCGCAATTTCCATATTTAAATTTCTGTACCAGCTTGATTTTAGTAATGAAACAAAACCACAGAGAGCTATGACCGCGTATGTCTTGAATGGACATGGATGTAAAAAAAAATGTTAACGTTATTAGTGCGATAAATCAAGTCAAATGAACATTTTTCCTTAGTGCATGTCGATCAAAAATCTGTCTGGTCCAATTAATATCTACTACAATTTCCAGTTCGACAACTCTATCAGACCACACACGAACACTAGAATTTCGTGGTCAATATATTCATATGCTGACAAAATCTAAGACCGCCAATAGGATGATCAAGGCGGAATCATTGACACAACATTCTTTAATAGAGACGTGTGTATATGTATGTATGTATGGGCATACATATATAATGACTCTCAGTCCATTTTATTATATAGCTTCAGTATGTATGCTGACCTCTGATACAGCAGTCTTGTCAGCTTTAGAGAGAGAACCGCCTAAATTCAACCCAATACACGGAAAAAGAGTGGGCTGTACGGTAGATAGATAGGGGGAAAGTGGTGTGATGTTATTCGCATATACTGAGGGGATATTTACGCCCGCCACCACAAGGAAGGGCCACATATGTCAATAAAGATCCCACTTCAGCTTTAAAAAACAAGGGTATATGATAGCTGGCAGCCAACGAACAAACTAACGAGACGCAAGCTACTAGCTGAGCGTTCGTGTTAGTTTTATTTTCTTATTTAACAACTACTGGAGATTTCTGGGACGAAGAACTGCCAAAAAGTAGAGAAAATAAAAGCAAATAAGAAGAAAAAATATATACGCCGTCGAATGATTAAAAATATATATTTTAAAAGCGACATCTCTATAAAGTCCAATGCGAAATAATACAGGGATTCTACAGGAAAATAATTCTTCAAGTTTGAAGTAATATTTTCAAATTTTAAAGTTATATCTGTTTGTCCGTCGATCTATCTTAACAGGTTCATTATCTATCAATCTATCTATCTATCTATCTACCTATCTATCTATCTATCTCAACAGGTTCATTATCTATCTATCACTCTATGTTTATATATTGAGATAGATAATGAACGTGTAGGCATATATATATATATATATATATATATATATATATATATATATATTATAATTTTATCATATAGACAAAACCATTTTACTCACTACAAAGATGCAACTTGGTATCAGTGCATTTCAACTGCACTTCGACGGGTGAGAATGGAAAATGGTTATGAACAATCCTGGTTATAGGCAAGCTGTCTATATGATAAAATTATAATAAATAAATAATTATCGCTCTACTATCGGTATCGAGCCCTCTTTTGGATTAATGCTGTGAACGTTGGAATTTATATATTGCTTTCGTTCTCATCGTATCGGATATATATATATATATATATATATATATATATATATATATATATATATATAGCTGAACGTATATAGTGATTTTCCAAGCGTAGCTCAAATGTGGCACAAGGCCGAAAGTATGGGGAACCCAGTGAGGATCGAACTCACTACTCCGTCGTAATTGCTCTAGCGAGACAAACTTGCAAACTATGACACCACATCGAGATGTCCAACCTGTTGATATATATATACATATATATATATATAAAGAGCTTCATTATCTATCTATCTATCTATCTATATATATATATATATATATATATATATATATACACACAACGTTCAACTATATATATATATATATATATATATATATATCCCTGCACGTTCATTATCTATCTTAACAGGTTTATTATCTATCTATCTATCTATCTATCTATCTATCTATCTATCTATCTATCTATCTATCTATCTCATCCTGATGATTATCTATCTATCTATCTATCTATCTATCTATCTATCTATCTCATTCTGATGATTATCTATCTATCTATCTATCTCACTCTCTTCATATATATATATATATATATATATATATATATATATATATATATATATATATATATATATATATATATCTATTTCAGACAGTGCATTATCTGATTCCTAGCACATTCGATATATATTTCCCTAAATTAGCAAATATATCTTTCTACCTCAGCTTGTTAACATAAATATGCGATGCATTTGTGTTTGTGTACGTACAGAGTTTTCTCAATGTTCATAAATCCTTCAATACCCGTGGGGTATATATTCTGGATCACATGATATTTTACACCCTTTATTTGTACCTTAGCAATTCTCCGACTATAAAACCGCGATACTTGCAAAAACATGATACGATATAACCACCAGCGCATGAATACACTCATAAAACACCAAAGAATTTTCTCCCAGATGAAGAAGGGATGTGAAATGACATAGATGTGGTTCCACCGACACATTCTGAGAATAGCATAGACAAAATATATGAGCAATGAAGAGGTCTGGGATAATTGGAACTACGAAGTAATTTTTGCTTATAATGAGAAAGTGACAAAATAAGAACAGGTGACCAAGTGAATTTAACACACACAAGGCAAGACAAACAGGTGAGATAAAGTGTTTGTGCGAATGGATGATAGAGCGGGAAAAAGCGATAGATATGTTAAAGGATTAAAAGTTATTTAGAACAATAGGAAGTTGTGGAGAGCGATGTTCACCTAAATCTCGAAAGGAGTTAAACATAATAGAGAATTAACCATAACTTGAGATTTTAGGCTCATCAAAGTACGAATCAACATCTTTACGAAATGAGCCACTACAGACTTTTTTTTTTTTAATGTCTGGCGACTTTAAGAATCTGCGTTGTTATAGATAAATAGCTTATTTCAGTAATGTCCTTGTCATTAATGTGTTCTTATTGGCCTGGCGAAATTATGTTTAATGTAGATGGGAAGGGCGATGTCAAGGGACTGGCGCTAATAATAGCTAATTGATCTTGAAGATTATTGTAATTATGTTACAAAATGATTGTTATTAGGAATTGTGAAGCACATATCGACGAAAATGTGAGCAGTTTTTCGTATTTGTTTTTGCTTACAGAACTGCTACGGCTGTAAACATTTACAGTTACTTATACAAAAAGGAACTGATCTATTTCCTCTCTCTCTCCCCCTCTATCTCATATCTGATTTACTTTCTAGTGAAATGTAGTGACATTCTGTTCGTATCTATCTATCTATCTATCTATCTATCTATCTATCTATCTATCTATCTATCTATCATTGCTGTTAATGTCTATCTAATGCAGTTAATATCTATCTAGTGCTGTTAATATCTATCTATCTATCTTGTGCTATTAATATCTATCTATCTATCTATCTATCTATCATGTGCTATTAATATCTATCTGTCTATCTATCTATCATTGCTGTTAATGTCTTTCTAATGCAGTTAATATCTATCTAATGCTGTTAATATTTATCTATCTTGTGCCATTAATATCTATCTATTCATCTCTCTCACTCTCTCTGTCTCTCTCTCTCTCTCTATATATATATATATATATATATAATTCTGATCATATCTATCTCTCTTTCTAATTCTGTTAGATGTCTATCAATCTTCATATATATCTGTCTATCTAAATCTGTTAATATCTAGCTAGCTAGCCAGCTAGTTATCTATCTATCTAGTGCTGTTAATATCTATCTATCTATCTATCTATCTATCTATCTATCTATCTATCTATCTATCTATCTATTTTGTTCATCGCTATCTTTGTCTCTCTCTCTCTGTTTATCTATCTATCTATTTAATTCTTGAAGTCTAAGTAACATAGAGTACCATTAATCAGAACAATTACCGTGAACATTTTTATCGAAAAGGTCTCAGGAAGCTACGTTATGACGAGATGTCAGGACAGGAGCAATAAATTTAAATAATATGTAGTTATTAGTGATGTAAGATAACAGTTTGAAACTTATCTTTTGTAAATTACACACTAAGTTCAGATAACTCTGTAAAAAATCAGGGGTCGATTTTTGCCTGTATTTACATTATGACGGGTACCCCCTTCTATTCTGCTTCTCTAATATATAAACTCATATCATCCACCTTTCACATCTATCTATCTTAGTCTTCATATGTATGCCTCTGTTTCTTGTATATGATTAACCTGAGATGACACCAGAATATTCTTTGCTCTTAACGTCACACGAGACTATCTGAGAAGCTGTGCGAATCAGCCGGCGGTACTATATGTGGCCCCCCTTGAGACCAAGTTTAGATTTGCGCCTAACAGGATATTCCACCTACATGTAAAAAATGGGATTGTTCTAACTATGTTTAGGATTTGCAGCCGTGCAACAGACTGGATAACAGGTAGATATATACGCACCCACACGAGAGGAGAGGAGAAAATCTCTTATACCCACGTTCGGAGAAAAATACCGAAGCTACACACCCACTGACCAAGAGTAATTGATACTTAATCTTACCTGGTACTTGATCTTACTCTATTGACCTATATCTATCTCATTGTATTCATTATCTATCTATCTATCTATCTATCTATCTATCTATCGTGAATATATATCTATAATCTGAATGATTTTTATCTATCTATCTCTCTATCTCTCTATCTATCGATCTCTCTCTCTCTCTCTCTCTCTCTCTATATATATATATATATATATATATATATATATATATATATATATATATATATATATATATTTAAGTCTGTATCTTTCACTAACAGTGCCACTAAAAAGCATTCGAAATTCTGTCACTGTCTTTCTGTTTAGCTTTTGAGGTGTCCTATAAAAAAATAAACAACAATAATAATAATACATGCACCCTGGACGCATCATCTATCCTGCTAGTCCAATATATTTCTCAATCTTTCATTATCTATCTATCTATCTATCTATCTATCTATCTATCTATCACTCAAAATCATTTCGTTCAAATGTCAGTTAGCTATCGGTATTCCCGTCGCAAAATACAGAATACTGATCAGTTTCTTTAATTCTTTCACATCAGCAGGAATAAATAATTCTGTCGGGCTTATAAATAATTATTTCACAATGCTGAACCACATATGCGCATATATAGGGTCACGCATTATTATTCACTTGCTGTCGCGTACAAAGCTTTTCCAGATTTGTAATTAATACATGGCATATCAGTAACAACGATTCTCAAGTCAAATAGAGTTGTATGCCATATTGGATAACATGAAAAAATCCGTTTGATTTATTACGTAGAACGGAAGAAAGTTTTGTTAATTTACTTTTAATCTATTTACCCTTCTACAATCTTTCGGGCAAAGTCATAATTTCATCCTTTGAAAATGTTTTTTTTTTTTTTTTGCTTTCTTTCGATGCAAAATAGAGGCTTTTGCAATCTCTTTTTTCTTTTTTTTTCTTAAAGAATCCTTTTATATGGTAATATGTTAAACATCACGGACAAATTTCACAATCATATTGCGACAGTCTGTTTTAGATCACCAAATAAACAAACTCTAATAATTTATTATGCCTTTTCTTTTACTGGCGTTTTTATCCCACTAGTGTACTCAGCTAGTTGGGCAGCAATTTTTGAAGTTTTTTTTTTTAACCGGAAGGAAATTATAGTAGAAGTCTCTGATTTTTTTTTTTTTTTTTTTTACGGATCATCAATGTTATTTAGTGCCTGAAATTATTTTTATATTGTAAGATTATTTTTTAGAGATAATAATGATTTTACTAATAAAAGTTTTACTAATTATCGAATAGTTGGTGGGTAAGAGATGGATTCATACGTTTCACAAGTGTATTTGCGCGTAAGTGAATATCAAGAAATCGACTGAAATTGGAACTCGGCTCTCCGATTTCAAATTCCGAGCCGCTATCCATTTCACCAACCATACATCCATGCTTAGTGCACCTGCTATTCTCAAGTGGTCACCAATCTAGGTACTGACCAGGCTCGACATTTTTTAACTGCGGTGATTGTACGAGAACCCGTGTTTCAACTTGATACGGCCGTAAGCCTAATAGAGGTCTTTGTTCCAATCAATCATATATATAGTCTCTGATTTTATGGGGGAAAATCTGATTTTTTTTTTTTAGTTACAGTTAATGGTAAGAAGGAAATAAGAGCCACAATCTATTTATTTTTTCTGGACTATGCCCTGCTCATTGATAAACACAGATGTGAAGAGATAGGCAATTATCATTTAATCATTCCTATACCACATCCGAAACTAATCTACTAATAGAAGACAGCCATCCTGTTTTAACTCCCGAGGCTACTATACTGATTATGAGGTGGGTATGCTGATGATATAAGTACTCATAATTGGAATAAAAATGAGAAATATTTCATAAATATAAACCGGCAATAGTATCGACTTCTCGAGCTATGGATGCCAAATATTTCCTTACCATTATAAGGGAAGTTCTACTTTCGGTTAATATTTATAAAATTTTTCTTCTATTAAAAATGTACTAAATATTTCCTTATAAGGAAATCACCCATCTTTCATATGTATGCCTCTGTTTGTTGAATGTGATTAACCTGAGATGAGGCCAGAATATTCTTTGCTTTTAACGTCACACGAGACCACCTTGATAATATTGCCAAGAAGGAAATGACAAACAAGGAAAGTTCTACTTTCGACTGAATTTTTAAAAAAATATTTCTATTAAAAAGAAAATTTGCAGGAAAATAGGTTTCCCAAATTCACTAACTCATAACACTCTTTCCAGTACTGATAGGGGATTTTTTCCTTACAGTTTGTTTGAAGTGATGTGGAATATCAACATGTGTATTATGTTATTATATTCTATTTGAGGTGCATGTGCTATTTTTAGCATTCGGTTATTTGATAGAATTCTTTGTTTGTAGCGCCAGTCCACAACATTCAAAGAAGTATGGACCTTGCTAAAATCTACTGGGTTTATTCACTCGAAGCTATTTTTAATCATTTGATAAAACGGCTGTATAAAGCTGGCAGTTTTGATAATTCCGAACGTGTTTGGTGTCATGCATGGCATGGCTATTAATTACATGACTCGAGTATCCAGGGATTTTTTTGTTTTGTAGCCGCTTGTGGTATTGTGTGAAACTATCTCTAGCGCAGCTTATTTACTGTTCAATGTCCTTATATTCCTATTTTCATTTATAACTGATCCATAGTTTACAAAGGGTTTAATATCAGCTAACAATAAACACAGTAGAATTAATTTTAATGATGGATTCAAAGTAGTCACTATCATTAGTTTCATTCGAAATCCGGATCATAGTTTTGGTTTTGGAAAGGTTTATCTTGAATCTCATTTCTTGGAGCACTTTGTAGACGATGCTGATTTTTTTTTCTTCATGATTCATTTCACTTACACGCGATGTTTTGTGTTCTACGTTGTTGTAAACTATCCATTTTTCTTCGCTCATGACACCAAATGCCGAAGATTTAAATATAATTTAAACCATTTTCAATATGTTTAAATTTCCCACAGAAATAAAAATGACTTGATCTAGGTGAGAGCTGTACTTATTCGAATTGAAACAAAAGTTTATGTTACCAGAAATGTTTTATAATGAAAGACAGTCAACCCTAACACACAGAGAGCAGTATCTTTCTTGGACTTAGCATTTGGTACAGTGAAGATAACTGATTTTATTTACTCCATGTTTTCGTGCATTCCATTCATTTTTTATTTATATGGAATCCAAACATTAAACAGACTAACACACTCAAGCTAGTACAAATGTTTTTAAATGATTGATTTCGATATCTTATGCATGTTGACTAGCCTCTGAATCTGATAAATTTAATTGCTGTTATGTAATATCGCGATTTGTTTATTAACCAGATCAGATCTACCCAATCATGGAACATGATTTAATGAGAAATCTTCAATCTGAATCTTTGCAACACATGTGCACTTACTCGTAGATGTTTTCAAAATGGCATTTTCCCCAGGGACAAGGACGACCATAACACACCATGGATTCCTTTTATTTAGTATCTGTTAATTACCATACATTGTTGGGAAAGATAAGGGAGTAGATCTCCGTTGCTTTCGCCATGATAATTATAATTAGGACTTGTCTTAATAGACTAGTTGCCACACAAGAACCCATTTTAATCTGATGTTTAAACCGTATCTGGGATGAGAAGAGATGGATTCATGATTTTAAGGGCGGAAGTGAATGCAGCTGACTTGGCCGTGATTTGAACTCGACTCGCCAATTATATATTCTGTGTCGATAGCGGAATTTGACCTTGACGTTGAGCGTGTTAAATAGTATTCAACAATGGTCAATACTGATATAATATTTCAAATATATGAAACATATACATATATATGTGTGTGTGTGCGTGTGTGTGTGTGTTTATATGCGAAAAAGATATATATAGAGAGGGAGAGGGAGAGAGAGAGAAATATGATATAGAAATCTTTATAGAATTCAGAACAATGTTAGTAACTTGTGTGTGTGCGCGCGTGCGTGTGCTTGTCTTTATTTTTGAGAAAGATAGATAGATAGAGAGATAGATAGATAGAGAGAAATATGATATATAAATCTATATATAATTCAATACAATGTTCGGTAACTTGATTCTATGTAAAGTGTTTTGTTCTTTAAAAAGACAGCATCAGACTTAAGTAATTTTCTTATTGATGGAACTATATATATATATATATATATATATATATATATATATATATAGAGAGAGAGAGAGAGAGAGAGGATAGAGAAAGAGAGGAGGAATATGAACCTAGAAGTCAGTTATAACTATGCACCGAGAGGAAACGCTGAAAATGGTGGACCACCAGCAGTTAAGAGTTGGTTCCACGCCACCAAAAACCTCCTGATCAGAGGCCTTGCTGTTGGATGTATCTTATCGTCTTACCCTGGACGCGGTTGTAGTTTACCGTCATACCCGGCACGGTGTTGTTTTGCTTTGACCATTTTAAGAAAATTCAAACATTAGCCAAAGCCTTGTTTCATGCTGCTGCTAGATCTTGATAAATTTCAATTTTTCGCGTTCTTTTAGTATTATTCATCTGCTTCTTGAAATAAATATCTTATTTATTTATTCATTTACATATTACTCACCATTATCCAGACACTTCGCTTCTATTACATGGTCAGCTAGTATTGACACGTCGATGAAAATCGTTGCAGAAATAAACCATGATTATTGTCTGTAGTAATTCCCAGTGACACAATATTTTTTTTTTATTTTATTTTGACCGCCGTAAAATTTTGTTACAACCACAAAAAACAATACTGAAGTGCAGCGTAATTTCAATTCCCCACTGTAGCAGTGAATGTTGAACAATTTCCTTACAGATGAAGAGAAGACCTGACCCAACAGAAATGTGGTTCTACAGAAGGATGCTGAGAATAAGATCGGCAGAACATGTAGCCGAATGTAAGTAACGATCAAGTTTTAACGAGAATGGAAACGAAAAGTGAATAAGTGAATCGAAAAGGGACTGTTGAAATTTATCGCACATGATATAGAAAGCAGATTTGTAGAATTTTTTTAATCACTTCATCCCAAGTAAGGCAATAAAACTACTAAAATACAAAGGGTTACTAAGTGTGAGAGCATAAGGTGGAAAAAAAAAAACACTATTAAAGAGACAGAACAAAAAAAGAACACGAATTAAGAAGACAGAAGATAACGATTGAGATTGCATTTAAATTTTTCAAGATCAAATTTCACTAGGAAGCAAGTAACCGGAAAAGAGTTCCACAAGCGAGAAGTGCGGTAGATGAAACTATCAGAATAGAACTAGCTATTTCTAGTGTAAATTCACAAAACCTAGCTAAAATATTCAACAATTTCCATGAAATTATTTATAGAAAACGCACGGGGAAACTACGCTGCAGTGATGGGAAAGTGACAGAAATCAAGATGCCAGGTCATGACCAATAATATCGCAGATTCTTTGGATCTTATCAAGAATCTCTCTATATATATGTTAGAAGCTCCGGACCATGTGCGGCAGCATTATTCAAAGCGTGGATGGATGGTAGACTTAAAAATGTGTAAGATAGATTTGGAAGAGAAAAATTGTCCATCAGGTCACAGTAAATCAACTTTACTAGCAAGAGACTTAGCAGTTCTTCAATATAATATTTGCACTTCCTGTTGACAGAAAAGTTTAATCCAAGAACCCTCACAAGATAAGATGGGCAAAGGCAAACATTACGTAACATGCCCAAAAAGCTTGGGTAAATGGATGACAGAGTAGAGACTGGAAAAAATAACAAAGGGGCAAATATTCTTTTTGAGCAGTAAAGGATAGAAAGTTGCGGAAAGATATGCTTATTGACGTAGGGGTTTGAGTTGCCAGCCAGAAGTCCAACTAATTCGAAAACAGTTCTATCTGCTAACTAAGGTTAGTAAACCTAGTCTGAGATTTATCTAATAGCCGTGGTATAAAGATAAGTTTATTTAAGGTCTTTTCTAAGATCGTTAGAGCAGGCATCTACTGATTTTATAACTATTGTCAAAAATTCTATAAAATACAGTCATTATAATGCCGGAGGCGTTGTTTATTAAATTTCCCGTATTTGTGTTATTGAGTTCTTTCCATTTAAATACGTAAGTGCTGTTTAGAACTGATTGCATTTTTCCAACCTCTATTCCAAGCGAACAGGCCCAGTGCAATTAAATGTTTGAAATCCCGTTTCAGGTTTTGTTATTGTTGATTATTTTGAAGTAGTTGTCTCCAGTGGCGTTCACTAAAAGGTTCTTAGAATTAAATAGTTCGTTCGATTTCCATTGATTTTGAAATCTGATACATTATTTATAGAAGCCATTGTTAAAAACTTTCATTCATATGACATATATATATACACACACACATATATATATATATATATATATATATATATATATATATATATATATATATATATATATTTCAAAGAATATATATATTGCAAAAATTAATATATATATATATATATTTCAAAGAATATATATATATCAAAAATTAATATATATATATATATATATATATAT